TACCCTCTAAGGCTTTAGCAAATTCAAGACTAGAATTTTTTGGAATTTCAAAATTCGTAAAGAGCGGTGGTTTTAAATCCTTTTTTGGAATTGTTATAGAAGAGGATGAAAAACTATTCCGAGTAAGATTTTCAATTCGATCAAGTTGTTTGCCTATGGTGTGAAGATGTTGATTTGAAAAGTTATTTTGTTCAACAATTTTCTTGATTCCTATGCCATCTATTTCGGAGGCTGTTTTGAAAGGAGAAGCTATAATTTCAGTTTCCCTATGTTCAATTTTGATTTTTCTAAGAGGAGGATGATTAGACTCGATGACATGGCCATCGTCTAATTTCCACTTATAAAATTGATCTAGAACAAAAATCTGTTTTTCTTGTAAAAATTCATTTTCAAACCAATCAAAGAAGAATACTTGGATTTCATGTTGATACATGTAATCATAATATTCTTTCTTGATTTTGGGTGCTTGTTTTTGAAATTTAGCAAAGAACCATTCTCTGATTTGTTTGTTTTTAGAAGAATTGAATTCTTGATTTAAAAATACTTTATTAGGTTCAAAAACTGATTCCAAAATATTGATTTCGGGGTCTTCCATTTCGGAAGGAGTAGGATCAGGGAAATCAGGGGTATGTTGATATACTGGCCTGGAAATTCCTAACCGACTATCAATACCGCTGATGTTTGGAAGAGGAGGAGCACTTGCAGATGCTTCCTCGGGATTATTCAAAGGGATATTAGGAATAATATCTACTGACCTTCGAGAAGAAGTAGAATGCTAAGAAGGAATTAATCTAATGTCACAAGACCTCCTAGGAATATCAACAGATCTTCTGGAAAATTGGATAGTTACTCTTCCTTCAGGGTGTTGAATAATGTTGGTAGGATCAGAATTTTGAACGATTTGTTGGGGAATTCGGTTTTCTAATTCCCATTGATCAGGAAGGGTTATTTGATTCCAAGGAATGATCCTAGGAATGGTAACATTTGCTTTAGAAATGTCTGTTTGTAGAAGAAGGGTTTCCCTATTGGAATTCAATTTAAAAGCTTTGCTACCGAAAGCAGAATTCATTACTTTGTAATAAACTCTGTAGATGAGGGCTATGGGAATAGAACCTTCAGCTATAGAATAATTATGGGTTTTTATTTGAAGAGTGAGAGATTTTAAAATATTTTTGTATTTGAGAGAAACGGTAAGACCAGGATGACTATCAAAATGAACTGGTCCACTACAAAGACTTGTTTCTACGGCTCCAAGAATGGATTCATCATATTTTAAAAGTCTCGCATCTCTCAAAACAAGAAGTAAGGAAGTATCTAATCCTTCTTTGGTAAGGGGTTTTGCACCAACCTGTACTAAACCTATATGCATGTAATTCCATTTCTGGGAATGTTTCTTTATAGAATCTTTATTCAAAAGTTTTATTGAAGCAAAAAAATTAGAAAGTGGTACATCTCTTTCTTCGGTAACAATGACATAGTCATTATTCCCAAAGAGTTTAAACTTTGAATACTCATAAATTTTATCAAGTTTAACTTTTGGAATGAACCAATTTTCAATTGATTTATTGAAATCTTCTATATTAATTTCTTCTCTATTTATTGGTCCTTGATCTGAGGACATTTGTGATAAAGAACTAGAAGAAAACTCAGATCTTCTTAATAAGTTCATTGCAAAAGACTACTTCTTCTTTTCAATAGATTTCGACGATGCTTACCAACAGACTTACTACCCCACTAGGCTTTACTGCTTGGAACACATCCAGAAATCACACGAAAAGACTTCCACGAAAGAAATCATCTTTACTGCGAATGAAATTATAAAGAATATCTTTATCTACCCCCTAGCTCTAATATCATAATATCCGAGGATCTGGGGAATTATAAATGGAGAATATCTTTATATATTCATATTTTTCAGTCTCTTTTCACTTTACTTTTGATCCTTTTTTCTTAAAAAATCATACAATCATCTTTTCCAATGGTTTCCCTCAAGAGATCTTGGAGAAGTAACAAAATTGCCATCTGGTATTCTCATTCGAGACTTTGTTGTATCCTAGAGGATTTTTGCCAATAGCCATTAATAACGTTGCGGGGCAATCCTTAAAGAGAGAGTTATTAAGCCTCAAAGTCTGATTCCATTTTCTTCCCATTCTAATTCACGTGGACTTGTTCCCAATAAATACTTTCAAAAAGTACAATAAAGCTCTGAAACTTATTACGAAAGTACAATTGATCTATTCTATTGTGCACGTATTGTGGTACTTGTAGCTTCATAAAGTCTATGATTTGATCTTTACGATGGAAGTGATTGATCGAGTTAATCTAAATTTACCAATACCTCCGGATTGGATGACCTTAGTTAAGACTTGCGATATATGTAGAACCGACGGTCCTATTTGGGTAAGGGTATTAACGGAAAGCTCTTGAATATTACGACACAATTATATCATTGAACCGTATTTTTAATAAAGTTTTGTTTTCGGTCAAAGTTGCTCAAATTTTTCAACAATCATAGGCAAAAAACCTTAACTGTTTACTGACATGTTTTCCTCTATTTTTGATTCGAAGAATTCCTGATTGACTAGTTTTTTAGAAATTGACACACCTAGATAAAATACACCACTACAAAAAAAACATAGATTTTGCCACGGAAATTTGCGACGGGGAATTTTTCATCGCTAATTTGCGACAAAATTTGCGACGGAATTTTTTTTCCATCGCAAATTAGCGACGAAAATTATTTGTCGCTAATTTGCGACGGAATTTGCCACGAAATAAAAATTCGTCGCAAATTTGCGACGGAAAATAAATCCGTCGCAATTCCAAAAATTGTATTGCATTTTCCAATCTGTCGCAAAATCCGTCGCAAATTTGTGACGGATTTATTTTCCGTCGCAAATTTGCGACGGATTCCAAAAATTGTATTGCATTTTCCAATCCGTCGCAAATTTGCGACGGATTGATTTTCCGTCGCAAATTTGCGACGGATTCCAAAAATTGTATTGCATTTTCCAATCCGTCGCAAATTCGTTTAGCGACGAATTTTGCCAAATCTTTCGTCACAAAATTTGTCGCTAAAACCTTGTTTTTTTGTAGTGTTCTAAAACTAAACCTAAGTTCTTCTAAGTCTAATCACGATGATTACCATGTCTCAATCTCTCGTGATAAGGATGAGGACTACATAAGGAATATACTCCATCACAAGACAAGCTAAATATTGCCTAATGAAATCAATCTAATGCAAACTAACAATTATTAATTGAAATTCAAACTAAATTGGATGATTGTCACAAGTTCAAATTCAAAAGAGATTGGACAATTTGCTACACGTCCAATTCTAAGAGAGATTAGATATTACAAATTCAAATTAGATAAGAAGATCTATTATAAACTCAAGATATTAGATAATCTCTTAAAATGTTCTCGTCCCAAATAAGCTTTTTTAGATTCGATAGGTGCAAATCTTATCTTATTTTTTTTCAAGACTTAGATATAGATAACACAGATATCTATTTAGTTGAATATGTCGGTTTCCTCCGCACGTAGCTCTTATGTATGCGTAAATATATGGGTAAATAAATTATAGTAATTTTCAAATAGATCGAAATCGGGTGGATGTATGAAATGTAAAGTCAATGTATCTATATGGGGATATCTATAGGAGATCATATAAAAGAAATATTCTTATTTAGACCTAACCAATTTGATCTAATCAATTAGATGAATTACTCCTAAAGGGTTACATCCGAATGATGAGTGAATAGAGGGCATGCATTCTATTAGAGAAATATTTAGAAGATTCCCTATATTTCCTTTAATTGATTGTAATTGATATTTTCCCTTTTAGATAGTCATCCTATAAAACCGATAAATAGGTTCGTGTACTCTTCATTTGACAATGATATATATTGCTCTTAATTTTTTTTATCACATTCTTGACTTGGTATCAGAGCCCTATTCTTATTTGAGAAAGCGTCAATCGAATCTGTTTGTAACAACGACATCCACATTAGTCATGTTTCTCCACAGTATTCGTAATGCTAGTCACATCGGCTCATTTTGCAACAACCTCTCGTAGTTGTTTGACATTCCTCTGCTGCTCTAATGAAAAAAAAAAAACATCACCAGACTTGCCGCCCTTAGACGAATTAGATCATGGCATTTACTAATTCGTCAAATATGAGTAATGTGTTATTATATGTAAAAGTGTAGAAGCATATCTACTCAAGGTTTCGACAGAATTAGCGACGGATTTGAAAAATTGGTCGGTATAAATATTTCCGTCGCTAATTCCATTGCAAATTAGCAACGAATTTGAAAAAATGGGCATAATGTGCCGCGAAGATCACTTCCGTCGCAAATTTAATTAAAAAAAGAGCGCCCCAAAGCGCCGCCCTCACCCCCAATTTCTCTCTCTCTCTCTCTCTCGCTCACTGTTCTCCCTCTCTCTCGCCCCAAAATCTGCTTCCGCTTCTCGCTTCTCCTTCTTCCCGCTCCCCCACACCCCCAAACATCTCACGCTCGCTAAGGGTTTTCGGTACCCCCTTCCCCCCACCCGCGCTTCCTCCCGCGACTCCTCCTCGCCCATGGCCTCCGGAGCCCTAGAGGCCGCGGAGCCCGAAGGGAACGGCAAGAACGTCTCCAACTTCTTCCCCCAGGTCGTCAAGAACGTCGCGTCCCAGTCGCTCGAAGTGAAGACGCTCGTCTACTTGTACTTGCTGCATTACGCTGAAAAGTATGTGAATCGGATCGACTGATGTGCTCGAATTGAAAATGATCCTCGATTCCGATTGTTTTCGAGGTTTGAAGGGGCGTGCGTGATTGCTTTTGGGTAGAATTCTGTAAGGCATTGCTCGTTTCTCGCTATGTTTGTGCTAATCGTGTTAAAGAAGTGGGATAATGTCACCCGTACTTGAAATTTTAATCACCTTGATGTGGATGATTGGATTTAGATGTTGGTGCTCAGCTGATCGTTCGCGTTTACTCTTTCTTTGATGCTTGTAGGCGTCCAAATGAAGCATTGCTTTCGATCAATTGTTTCCAAAGGGACTTGGGGGGCACTAATCCTTTGGTGAGGGTCTGGGCACTCCGTACAATGGCTGGAATTCGTCTTCATATAGTCGCGCCCCTCGTTCTTGTAGCCGTAAACAAGTGCGCGAGAGATCCATCTGTTTATGTCAGAAAGTATGTTGCTAACGCTGTTCCCAAGTTGTTCGACTTGCGCATTGAGGAAAATACTTCTGCAATCGAAGAGGTGGTTGTTTTCGCTTTTCAGTTTTCTGCAATTACTGTTTTCCATTGCTTTTTGTCTCGGCAAAATGCTTGGTGAGGTGTATATGATTTTTTGTTAGGGTAGGAGAAAGAACTCGACAGGTTTGTGCACCTCGACTCTTCTTGTCCGTGCCATAAATTCTGAAAATTATTAAATAAGATTGAGGATGTGGTTCATCAAAATTGATTTCCCATTTTTCTCATTCATTTTATTTACTGCTTTTTTTTTTGGGTTGGGGGGAGGGGGTGTTTCTCTTCCTTTTAATCGGCTCATTGCTAGATTAAATGCAAGCATGTACTTGGTATCTGGTTTACCAAGACTGTTTCCAGTCACATGGTGAAAGATAGCCTTCTATGCTTTCAGTTGCCATGTAGGAAGCTTATTTCTGGTTGTTGTCTATGTTATGCACTGTGATTTAGTTCCACTGCCTTGTCTTTCTAACATGTGATCCACATTTTGTATCATTAAAGAAATCATAGAACTACTCTCATTAAACAAAGAACAATGAGAATTGGCCAATACAATATGCAGGTCGTACATTGAAGGACCGGATGAATATTTATCACGTGCAACTTACATTAATATGGATTCACCGAAGTTAACTTCTGCAAGATATACATCCGGGAAAATTAATGATGATATTAATATCTTACTTCAATGTACATCACCACTGCTATGGAGTTATAATAGTGCAGTGGTAGTTGCTGCTGCTACTGTACACTGGATTATGGCGCCAATGGAGGATGTCAAAAGGATAGTTAAGCCGCTTTTGTTTGTCTTGCGATCCTCTAATGCCTCAAGATACGTGGTAAGCCATTTTCTTGGGCACTCACATTGATGTATGTATGGAGGGCAGGAGGGTGGATGTGTCTGCATGTGTACACGTATACTAACTTGGTTGGCATCTCTATTTATTTGGTGAATTATCTGGCTGTGCCGTTGATATGGTATTAAGGTAATTTGTTTCACTACCACTATTGACCTGACATCCTGTTTATTTTTCTGTCCCAACCTATATGGTGAAGCAAAATGAGAATCACTTGACCATTCCCCAACTCCCTAGCTTAATACATGGTCTTTGAGGAGATTGTCTGACACTGCTTTCTCTTTTTTTGATGCTTAACAATATGAAGGTTGTTCTTGTGTTTGCATTCTTGAACATAAGTGAATGAGAATTAGGTCATGAGTGTGACAGACATATGCAAGGTGAACATATTACTTGCTGATTCAATAGAAACAAAATTAAATGGTTATCGTGCAACATGAATGAGGATGAAGAATATAGTTAAAAGTAATATAATAAGGTAGGTGCTAAATATAGACAAGATAATCCGCAGAAGGCACCTGTTCTTATGTTATTTTTTGAGATTGTGAATGTATCCTGGGTAGGTAGGCAAGTTAGTGGATTGTTTCAGCTAAACCTGGTATTTGCTATTATATGTGTCATTTGAAGCTCATTTGAGAGAATAGTTGATGATTCTCTGCAGTCCTTTTATGCAACATGGAGTTTTGCTGACAAAGTTTGTTTATGTGTGGATGCAGAGCTGATAAATGTTGGGCAGAAGCAAGATGCTCTGCAAGAACTTCACGATCTTATTACCTTGAAGAGATCCCGAGCATGGCAAAATACCCTTGAGAGGATTATGTTCAAGTACATTGAGCTATGCGTTGATATGCGGAGGGGGAGATTTGCCAAGGATGGTCTGATTGAGTATCGCATTGTATGTCAACAAGTGAATGTCACCTCTTCGGAGGAGGTGACGAAGCACTCCATGCAAACCTTACAGGAGAAAGCAAAGCAGGCGCAAGATTGAAAGTATCTTTTCATATATATCGGGGATAAGCTTTGCTTTAGCATCTTTTGTGTCATAAGTGCAGTTGGCCCAATATGTTCATGAGGTTGCTTAAGCAGGTGCTTTAAAGTGCTCAAGATTATTTATTCTCTTATTATGTGTACTATAAAGAAAAATATTTATGTCATTCTTGTGGAAAATGTAGATGAATGTATTTCATTTTCATATTATTATAATATTTTGATGTTATTAAGTGCTTAATCAATGTTAAATATAAATTCCAAAAATTAAATTTTCTTTTAATTAGGTTTAAAATAAAAAAAATAAAATAAATGATTTTATCGTACGATCACAAATTACAAAAGTTCGTTGCAAAAATAAAATTTCGTCGCTAATTTCGTCCCTAAACGATAATCGTCGCAGAGTTCGTCGCTAAAGAATTAATAAAAAATCGTCGCTAAATTCGATCATAAATAATGTTGATGGCAAATGTAAAAAAATTTGGTGGCAAATTAGCGACGAATTTTGTCACGAATAAGTTCGCTGCAAATTACTGACCAAAATTTTTTTTTTGGCAAATTAGCGACGAATTTTGCGACGAATAATGTGCGACGAATTTTGCGACGAAATGTGCGACTAAATTTGTGACGAAATTTGTGACGAAATTTGCGACGAATAAAGTTCGTGGCTAATTTGCGACGAATTTTGCGACGAATTATTTGCGATAAATTTTGCGACGAAATTTGCGACGAAATTTACGACGAATTTTGCTACGAATAAAGTTCGTGACTAATTTGCGACGAATTTTATTCCGTCGAATTTGCGACGGAAATTGAAATTTTCCGTCGCAAAATTTTGCGACGACCTATTAGCGACGGAATTTTTTCCGTCGCTAAATTCGTCGCAAATTCGATTTGCGACGGATTTTTCCAAATTTTTCGTCACAAAATTCGTCGCAAAAATCATGTTTTTTTGTAGTGCACAAACTCGCTCAATCTCTCTCTCTGCGCGAGCTCGCGACACCTAGATGCAGCCAACTTAAAGTCGTCCAAGGTCAGCAACTGTAGAGAAACTGCAGTTCGAGGTCGACTGAGATCTGAAACCCCAGCTTAACTCACATTTGAGGTTACAGCACCCTAGATGAAGACGACAGTGTGCGATAGAGGGGGACAAAGATCTAGGGCGGCAAGCCAAGTGGAGGTGAGCAACAGTTTAGGGACGAAGGGACTAGCGGTGGAGAGGCGAGCTTTAGGGACAGACTGTGGATGACGATGGAGCATTCGCAGTGTAGCAGCAGTTTTTGCATAAGTAAGTGGAGAGAGAGAGAGAAAGAAGAGAGAAAGGAATGGGACGATCAAATTTCACCAAATTCACTAAATTCGAAGGATTGTCAAGTCTGAGTACTCAGATGATAGACAAATTTCACTGGAACAATACTACTATAACTTGCACTAGAATTATTGGCCCCCAAAATCTTCTTAACGATAAAGACGAGGGTATTATATATTAAGAAAACTCATCAAAATTTAGATAATTTGCTTAGATAGCAAATTTGTGGTCGTGAAAATCTCATCGGCCAAGTAAGACTTAACTTATACTTTCTTGACAAAACATAATAGGTGGTAATTGAAGTATATTATTTGCTAACTGAAGAGAAGTAAATTAAAAAATAAACACAGGAGTTGCTTGAAGATGGCTTAGACGGCAGCTGCCTCTCCGTCCGCCACCCCTCCGACTGCCATCACATATGACTACTAAAAAAAAGGGCACCAATCTATTTAAAAATGTTTAAAATAGTTTGGCATGTCATTAATTTGGTAATAACATAATGGATTGCCTCCTCGCCCACATATGTTGCTTGCATTTAACGTATGGCCAAAAATCGTGTGAAAATTTGTGTTATCTGACGATGGTTGAGATTATGATCCGGAGAATCAATCTAGAAAATACTTTTCGGATAAAAAGATATCTAGATGACACAATAGGTACATGAACCTCATTGACAAGATGATATCTTAGGCTGCTATCCTCTCATGGCTACAAAGTGCGATGGAAAATAAAATCCTCGTAAGAAAAAGACAAGGCAAATAAGACAGCACGCTTGTGGGTAAGTTCCGATTTAATTGGAGAGAATTAATCTATGCAATATCTTTAGATAAAAAAATCTTGACAATACATTAGGTACACCAACCTTGTTGAAAAGGTGGAGGGTCGAGTTTGCAATTGCCTAGTGGCTACAGAGCGCGTTCGAATATAAAATCCAGTATGAGGTACACTAACCTCATTGAAAAGATGATATCTTAGGCTGCTAGTGCCTAGTGGTTACAAAGCGTGTGAAAATAAAAGTCTGTAATAAAAACAAGGCAAATAAGACACAAGACGCGTGTGGGCAAACTCCAATTCAATTATGGAGACTCCGGGCCTGTTTGGCAAATTGCCAAATAATAACTGATTCTGTTATTTTATTTCCAGAATCAATTTAGGAACAGAAATTCATTTGTTAAATTTTTTGTGCCCGAGCACAATTTTGTAAAAAAAATTTGTAAAATTGTGCCCAGAATCAGTTTTGGAACAGAATCAAGAATAAAAAAAAAGTAACTTATTGATTCTGGAACAACTTTTTCAGAACTGATTCTTCTTGATTTTTTTCTTTTTTTTGGTTGTTGTTATTCTTCGGCCCCGCCACCCGCCGGCCGCTGGCCGCCGGCGAGGGCGGCTTGCGGCCTCGCCCAGCCAAGCCAAGGCCGACCTCGCCATTACCACCAGCGAGGGCGGCGGTGAGGGCCGTGACGCCCTCGCCGGCCCTGGCCTGTGGCCGATCGCTGGTGCCGGCGGCCGGCCATGGCCAAGAAAGGAAGGGGAAAGAAAGAAAAAAAAAAGAAAAAAAAGAGAATAAAAGAAATAAAAGAAATAAATATTAAAATTTTCAAAATATTATTAATAAAAGAAATTTTATGTAGTTACTATACGCATTTCTGTTCTTTTTCTATTCTAAGAATCGAAATTTTGGGCAGTTATCAAACGCCTTCAAATGCTTAGAAATTATTTCTGGGCACGAAATAAAAAAGAATCATTTCTGTCCAGAATTTGATTATGGGCACAGAATGATTGCCATGCGCAGCCTTAATCTCTACATTACTTTCGGATAAAAAATAGTAATGTACATGAACCTCATTGAAATGATGGTTGCTTGGGCGGCTAGTGCCTAGTGGTTACAAATAGCGCCTAATAACTATTAGGTAAAAATAATAAAATTCGAAATTAAATAATAAAACAATAAACGTAAATCTAATATGAATAGTCACGTTGTTTCAATAAATCATAATGGTTATTTTATAATTATAAAGTCAAATTTTAATATATAAATAAATGAATAATCGTTGTTCAATGCCAAATCTCGTCCACGAGTGCTCATATCTTTTCATCATGGGACAATACACCTCTTAGTTTGTAACCACCACTCGTATATTTTTTATATGAGACAATGCACCTCTTAGTTTGTAACCGCCCTCATATCTTTTCATAATGGGACAATACACCTTTTTTGTTTGTAACCACCACTCATATCTTTTTTATATGAGACAATGCACCTCTTAGTTTGTAACCGCCACACATATCTTTTCGATACGAGACAAGGCACCTTTTGGTAACTACCAATAATAAAACAAAATGTAAAATATATAAAACAAAATTTAAAAAATATACAACCAAAATTTTCATAAGATTAATATACAGACATAAAGGTCTATTTCGAGTTAAACCTTTACTTAGTGCAGGTACCTCAAAATTCAATAAAAGTTACAACAAGCTGTAGCTTTAAACTTGCTACTTTAATAATAGAATCAGACATATTACACATATACTAACCTTTTGTTTCAACGAGAAGTTCTATAATTTACTCGGCACTATTATAACCTTTTGTGTTTGTTCCGGTTCCAAGCAATCTTAACTTTCGTAAGAAGCAACATCACTTCTAAACTTATATAGGTGAAGTATCTACATGTGTTTCCATTACTAATAAACACATTACTAATTTGTATTATACTTCATTAAGAATATAATTCAGCCTTCAAAATGTAATAGACGATATTGACTTCTCAAGTCTGGGCTAATGTCAGTATCAAACTGTTGGCATCTAATTTTGCCGATCTAGTAGGTTATCATTTCCTTATAAAAATACAAGAAATATATAATAGAAAATAATATTAGGATTTTCTATAAAAAAAAAAATGAGTCAGTTTGACTTCGTCCAGGCTAATGCCGACCCTCGCGCAGGCCTGGGCCGCCTCTCCAGATCTAGCGAGATGAGCCCTCGCCAGGCCTCGCCTGGCCTGGCCAGGCAATGGCGACAGTGACCCTCGCCTAGGCGAAGGCAGCCTGCCTTGCCATGGCCGGTGGCCGGTCATCGGCAAAAGGAGGAAGGGAGGAAGAAAAGAAAAGAAAGAAAAATAATTAAAAATCAAAAAAATATTATTAAAAATTATCAACATCAGTGTTGACAGTGCCACATAGGTCGACCGGTGTCCACGTCTGCAAAATCCGGCCAAAATTAGCCGGAAGGACTGAATTGGCACAAAAATAAAATGTTTATGACTGAATTGACACAAAAAAAGGGTTTAGAATTAAATTGGCACAAATGCAAAATATTTAGGACGTTTATGACACTTTTCCCGTATTATAAGTGTTCATCTTTGTCCGCGAGACAGTGTGACTGTAGGATATTCCTTTCAACTGAGTCAAAGTTAAAGGGACCAGACACCAATGCGAGACTGCGACGGTCAAATCATTCTGTTAGCTTCACTTTGCTAAGCCGTTTAGATAGAAATTGAGCCTCACTTTTCACTTGCATGCCATGGTTCTCGGTAGAGTAAGCCTATTATCCCTCTTGCTATGCAATTCATTTATTTCATTTTGTTGGTCCATGACAACTTAGGTTGGTCGTTGGTCTCAATTTATATACAATGGGCAATATGGGTCACAAATCCATTTATTAACTGAGATTTAGTAGGCTCCGGTTGAATACGGGTCACTTAAAATTTTAAAATGAGTAAGTTTATATGGGTCTATATGGGTTTGCAACAAACCCATATTCAACCCATTTAACAAACTCATATGGACCTAATTAACTTATTGTTTTGGGACATATATAATTTATTAACTTGAACCGCTGGTCTCTGCCATTGTCAGTTGTCGCCATTGCCGGTCTTTGCCATCGCTGGTCGCCGCCGTCACTAGTCTCCGGT